AATTTGACGGGAAAATGCGCCGTAATGTCGGACGCGAGGCCTACCGACGAATTCGAGGTGGACGATCCGTTGGCGTCGGAATCAAAAATAAATTAGCCGCAGGTGAAATTAGGACGTCTGTCTTATCGCGATCGTGGAAAGTGATGGTGGAAAACACTTGGATCGGTTAAGTCGCGATGAATAATAAAGGCGGGCCATGTGGCGAGCGAAGGTTTCATTTTAATTATAGCTATTATTATGATCTTAATACTCGAGTGCCTATGATGGTGGCGTAATTGATTGCCGAAGAAATTAATGTAGAGGAACGAATGCACATTCGGATGGACGTCGCGAGTTAATTATAGAGGTGTTTAATATACATTGAAATTAATGAAATTTAGGACGTATTTTAACACGAATGAATTGAGGACATATAAAATCTCCATTTCATGTACAGCGTTAAATAAATTTTACATCATGAGATATTTAATTTTTTATATTATTTTCTTTCACGATTCATTTTAAATGTTCGTTTTAATTTAAAAATCTCTTTTCAAACTTTAGCTTTACAACGTTGTTGTTTTGGAGATAAAGCGAAGCGGGAGTGTCACTCCGACACGGTCGCGGCAATTTCGATAGCGATACGCGTTCCGCATTCGAAAGTGACACGCGCCGCACGAATTGACTCGTTCGCCGTGCGATCCTCGTAAAAACATGACTCACTAAGCACGGGATTCATGGGGGTACAAGCGTAATGCGCGATAGGGATCGCAAGGGTGGCGGCGCCTCTCGAGGGAGAGGCGTCGATCGGTTCGCCATCGATACTTAAATAGTTGACGCGCTTATCCGGCAGGGTGGTCGCCCCTAATGGCAATTTTCCGGATGATTTATTGCGTTGTGAACGCAATAACGTTTACGGAAACGCGACGATTGCATAACGACAGAGACACCGGTGAGAATGGCAATGTTGCATGTATGCACGATTGCGAAATTTATTCTTAGCATAACGTGCTCGCGCGAACGCGCGCGCGCGCGTGCAGCAGGTGAAAGTCGAGCACCGAACACCTCGGAGGAAACGTCGTCGACGTCAAGGCCGGCTTCGGGCGATAAGCGAGTTAGCTGCAGCTGCCTCGGGGTGCAGGGCTGAAGGAGGTGTAAACGACCCTGATGATTTTATAGAGTGTCAACTCGGAGTAATTACGATAGCGCAACCGCAATATTTTTCGATGGTGGGATTAATAACCCACATTGTGGCAGCGCGCGTCACAGATGGCCGCTGCTCATTTCGTAATATATGCAAAATTGTATACGATGCCTCGAGATATACGAGTACTTAACACAATTGTTTTAAGTAAACAACAAAAATAGATTGTTATAATAATTTCTAAGCTCAAAGGGACTCCAGCTTACTTCTATAATTGCTCATTAGATATTATTGTTATCGTGCGACGTGTAACATCGTAATGAATTAAAAAATGTTCAAATTGTCTTTTTATTATCCCTAAAACGGATTTTTTGTCGCTCAAGGATACGTAATTCCCTAACGTTTTATATATAGCAGTTAAACTTCACGACGTCGTCAGTCAATCGCGATAATTTAGAGTTTTACGTATCAAATGTCACGTCATCGTCGTCGTGAAATCGAGAGGCGAATCTAGATCTCGGGTACGACGGAATCGAATTACAAACGCGGAGAGATGAGGCCGCGAATCTCCGTCGTCGACTCCGCGAATAAAGAGCTTGCTTCTCTCGCGCGCGCAGAGATGTGTGCGCATTTCGAATGCACCGCTCGGCTAATTCCTCGCCTAAGGGCCGACAATCGTTTCGTTAAGGTGCGCCGGATCCCCGGGCGACGTAACAACGATACTATTCAACGCGCGGTTTGGACAATGCGCTTGTTAAAAACCGCACGAACCTAACCGAACGCGTACGTGCCGCGGAGTAAGGGAGGATCGTTTTCGAGGAGCTCGAAACCGCAAAACCGCTTTCCAAGGCGCAGCGAAGTCCGCGTCGCGGGGGACCGTCCTCCGGGGTATTTTTCGGGCCCTACGAATAGACGGCGGCGGGGCACTCGCGTGACGCAAGCCGGGGCCTCTCTTATCTGCGTTCCCTTAAGGATCCCAATCTCGTTTCGTCCTCGTGAACGAGTCCTGCGGGCCCCTCGAGCCCCTCGGTGCACGAAAAGGAAAAGGACACCTGTCATCGAATAAATAGATCTAGAAAACCGCGGCAATTACCCTTGCGGTCTTGTCCGCGAGAAGCCAACAGAAACGATAGGAGCGTTCGTGCGGGACAAGGATTCGGGGCGAACAAAAAAGCACGTGCCTTTTTAGCTCTTCCATACGAAAGTAACGAATGTTTTGTTGAAAATTATCGATGTTTTAGTGGGAGACCTATTTTATATAGTTGAACGATAGTGAGATGCCTGCAGACTTGAAAATATATACGTGTACATTTCCGCGCGGGAATATATTTTTATACATTCCAACGTACCCCATGTCGGATGTCTTTCCAAGTACAGATATCAAAAAACGAACGAAAAAAATGACAGTTATTTCAATAACATTATTAATCATCAATGTTCTCCGATACAATTAAGACATATTGGCAAATCGATCCTTACAAACTTTTAGAGATTCTTGACATCTAGACATAATCTTGTTCCTTAGGATCTCAGATATTCGTGTCTCACGTTTTCTAGACCGTGGAACTCATCAATTTAGCACCGATCATCAATTAATTAATCCTCGCTTTAACGGAAGTACTTACGTAACTGTTTTACGTATGTATGTGAAATTATGATGAATTAGTATAAGACACGTCGATCAATTTCGATGTTTGTCTGGCAGCGTATTATCTCGATGTGTTATCTACTCGCGCGGCTCAGATTAATATCGTGCCGGTCAGTCGCCACATAAGAAGCGCGAGGACCCCGCAGATCTGACTGGACACAAAAAACTGGTACGCAGGTGCTCGCCACGCGATTACAGCCAGTAACACGTGAATTCCCGCGTAGATCAGCACGATCGTCAGACACAGAAAAAGAGGCGACGCTCTCTTCGTTAATCCGTTCAGTCTTGTCATAATCGCACATTTTACGTCATTCAGATACTTCGGTGCTCGATGTTCCGGTGCCCTCGCAGCTGTTTCCTCCGGCAAGGCTATCGTTCTCGTCGGAATCGGCGATTCAATTTTTCTGGGGAGTGCTGACACGCTCGGCTTCTCGGTTCTCGGTCTCGACGGCTCTCCGAGCATCTCCAGTCTTCCCGGCGACAGGATTTGCTGTATGATCGCAGGAACTTCGGTTTCTTTGGCTCGAGGGGTTTTCGGGATTCTGATCAGAGTGATCCTAGTGGAGGATGATGTTCCGGAGATCGACGTATCGTCCGTCGAAGTCGCGGATGTGACGGAGGTGTCCGTCATTAAAGATCTTAGCAGCGTTATTTCAGAAAACTCATCCGGCAAGGGTATGCCTTTTTCTAGCACGGCAGCCCCAGTCATATCGGGTTTCTGACGATGATGACGACGGTGATGATGGTGATGATGAGCCTTTAGTGGATTGCATGGTCCTGGACACACCATTGGCCGACCTCGACAGGTATGTCGAGGCGGATCCATCATCCTCAATCTTCTCTGTTCGATCAGGCTTGCGTCTGACACAAGGATAATTAGAACAGAATTATGGCGTACACGCGTGCATTGTTAAGTTATCAAGAATCACATATATACATATAACACAGTATTTTCTCAAATAAATTAACGAAGGATCTCATATGCACCGAGTAATCGTCATATCGCGTCTCACGTAGTTCGCAATTATGTAATAAATATTACGAAGCGAAATGGCGCGATTGCGTTTCAGAGTAAACGCATTTCTCTATCCCGTACGCCCGGGCCAAGCAGATTTTAGCGATAAACCAGCTGGAACCCAGTTTCTCACTGTGAAAAAAATCGCTATTGACGTATCCGACGTATCTGATCGTTCCCGGAGTTCTTCCACGAAACGCGTAAATCACAGGCACGAGTCCATTGCGTGCGGTCACAGAGAGAACATACATTGTGGGCCGGGTGAAAGCTCTCGGTCGGGAACCCTGGGACGAAGGTCGGGCCACAGTTTTGCCTGCTACGCCGGCGGGAAATCTCCAGCGTGTCTTCTACATCGTCAACGAGGGCGCGTGCGGCCCGACGTTTCTCGAGGTGTTGAAAGGTCAACTGCAGACGCGACCGGTTCAAAGCTGGAGTTCGGCTTTTGTGAACGAAGCCCGAAGAGGAGAGGTGGACGTTTCCTTTGATCGGAACTACCTACAGTTAACCGTAAATTCGGGATGACCGAGTGAAACACATATTGACGAGAAATAGAAAGAAATATAATAAATATGGCGAACAAAGAGATTTGATATTTTTCTTATTTTATGACGAATAAATGATCTCTTTAGACCGCACTATTTAAAAAAAAGAAGGGCAAGCTTATAAAAAAAAGCATTTTAACTGTTAAGCAGAAAGTTATACTGCACGCGCGGCGAAACGTTTACGCTGCTGAGGAAAACTTGTTGCAGGCACTGTTCTATAATTAATAACTTGTACCGTTGCGAGACTGCAACGATCGTGAAAGCGGTCACGAAGTGCAAAGGTTTTACCTTGATTTTGCTACGTCATTTTGCGATTACTAGGTTACGTACACCAGACATCAGTCCGTCACGATAAAAATCCAGACTCGTTTTTGTTTGTCGCTTTGAAGTTTAGAATTCACGCTGACACATTTCACAAATTATATAATTAGTATAATTATCTAGGTTCAAATTAAGTCTTTTTTTCCATGCTGTTTCAAAACGTTTCAACATCGTTTTGTGAAAATAAACTGTAATTAAAGCTAATTAAAAATAGAAGATTATTTGTATATATCTTGTGTGAGATATAACTTATTTATCGAAATAAACTCCCAATTACTCAGATTAAATTAATTTATCGTGATTATTAATCGCTTGTCATTACATTGTTTCTGTACGTGCATTCTTTCGCAGACGGATGTTCCCGACGTGCCGAGTATCCTTCACCGGACTCAAGTCCGAAGGTCGTTACGCAGTGTTGATGGACATCGTGCCGGTCGACAACAAGAGGTATCGATACGCCTATCATCGTAGCTGTTGGCTGGAAGCCGGCAAAGCCGATCCGCCGGCGCCCGCGCGACTTTACCTCCATCCCGATTCACCCTTCACCGGCGAGCAACTGCGGAAACAGGTTGTTTCCTTCGAGAAGGTGAAACTGACGAACAACGACATGGACAAGCACGGCCAGGTGAGAGGATTATCTAAATCAGCCGTTCCGTAATCAACTCAGGTGTCACCGAGTTCAATTCAAACGATAATTTCTTTCAGACGCATCTTTTAGAGCCCTAAGATTGAATCGAAATTAACCGTGAAAAAATATTTGCCTTCTTATATTTATTTCTGCAGCGCCGATGCAGAGTTTTTTAAATACTGAGGCGATATATTATTATTCCCCTTTGCAATTACTCATGTTTATAATGCAAATAGCTATTAATTAACTTCACGGCTATTTTTAATTAGATGTTTATGCAATCTAAATACCTCAGCAATTTTTTAAATAATCTATCACGCGCACAATGCAATTCTAGCAAGGATTTGACGTTAAAACAGTTAAAAACATATATTCAACGCGTCGCCAACGATCGAAGCGTGCAAGATCGATCGCTGATCTCCATATAATCTTCGTAGAATAATTTCGCAAGATTTTCCCCCTCCGGCGACCCGCGCGCAGAAATTGTCGGCGATAAGGCGCTTCATGCACCCCGGCCATTACGCCGTTCTGTAATTTGCGCCTGCCTTTCAGCGGATGCGTAATTCCTGGGCCGCGGCGTATCTCCCCTTTATTTCGGAGTTTAGCGCACAATGGCCGCCGGACGCGAAATGTCGGAACCGTTGGACATGCTACCGCTATTACGTGACGCGGGGAACCCTCTTCCCTGCGCGTTCGATTACGCCCCGCGGGGATATATAATCCACGAATATAACACCACCGATGATTATTCGGATTTTAAAGAAATATATATTCCTGGCTAGAAAAAAATATAAAAGAGACTCTAACTTATAGAAGTGCTTTTTTCTTATAGAAAATTTTGATTACTTTCTTTACGATTCTTTGAAATGCTCAATTTAAAATCTGCCAAGCCTTAAATTAGAACATTGTTGAAATAAAAGTTATTTGGACGTTCGCGAATGGTGATACCGCGAAGGACTGTCGCCTCCGTAATTTTAATAAATTCGATGGCTGAACAAGCGACCTGCGGGTCAGTTTAACGTACGACGTTGGCGATGCTCGTAGTGTCGTTTTTCACGCCCTCATATCAATTCCCTCGGTCTCTCTTCTCGCTCGCGTGATCGTTGACGAGTCCTCGAGTGGCCGCGCGCGCCGAAAATGGCCTCGTAAAACGAATGCGTCGGGACATCACCCCATCAGGGTGGGAGCGTGGGCCCGTGGGTTATCATCGGCGCAGGTCGTTAATCGTGGGCGTCGATGTTGCCCGCACGGAACGTAATATTCCATCCACGCCGTTGTCACCGTCGTCATTGGCCGATTGATGACGAACCAATCTCTTGCTATCCGCGGAAACGTTGTTCGTTCCATCCGGAACGAAAGTGTAATCGGCGGTGTAGGAAAAAGTTTACGTGTAAAATTAAGATAATCGGAAAGTGATTCGAGAGAGGCAATAAGGTCTGATAAATTTTTCAGCAACATGTAAATCGTGGGGAAGAAGGCGGGCGGAGCCATTTACACACGGTGGGGATTAAGGGAACGAAAATTCCGCCGCGAAATCATGGTCGATCGACTATAATTTCGAGCATTTACGCCGCAAAGTCGCCGTGCCGATAAGCCGATATATTGAAAAGAAAATTTCAGACCGCGCGAACGCCTGTGTACGGCGATAAAACGCCGTCTTCTTTCCCGATAAAGAGACGTCGCAGGCGCGAAGTCGCCGCGCGATAATGAAAAGCTGAAGTTCATGGGAAAGAGGCGGAGTAACGGCCGCAGAACGGCGGCAGAACGGCGGGTATTACAACGGGAAATATTGTTAATTGAATAATCTCGGCAGATAAACAGTTTTAGGTTACATCAAATCAAAAATATTTTTTATACATGGCATATATGCAAGATTCTTTTACATTTTAAAAATATTTATATATAAAAAAAAACTAGATCCGGTATATATAACTTATGTAATAATCTAAAATGTAGTTAACAAATGTGCTTTCATCAATAAATATTGAGTTACCGAAATTTCAACACAAAGGACCGATTTTTGTCAGCTGGATTAGAATTTGCGTAATTGCGTTATACTGCGAATTATTCCGATGACAAAACATTGTCACATTTCTCTTTCGTGCATTTCACATCTTTCATACAGAAGCCTTCGTTGATACTCGCGTTTTTATGATCGGTTCGTGGCTGCAGGCGATGTTCCGTGATTTAATTCGCGAATGAATGATACATCGATTCTTCGTCGACGTGTTTTCCTCTGCTTATTAACGTGGCAACTCGAAACCGCGAAGAATAAATGCGCGAATTTACGGCGCGATTCCCGCCTTTAACGCGAGATTGGCGATAAACCGCGCGAAACTTAATATTCCGCTATTTCTCCTGACGTCCCGTTGTAAACGTTCGATAAAAGTTAATCCTCTGAAATATCTCTTTTATTCCTTAATTGGAAACACGCGTGTCCCGCATCGCACGGACAAGGACGAGGAACGATCGAGAGATTGCTAAATTCGAGACATATCGAGTTCCTTAAAAACAATGATGATCACGATACAAATAATGCTAACAAGATGATAAAATATTTTCGAGAGATAATTTTATACGTTTAAATTTTTTCATCCACGAGATCTTAAAAACTTACCACATCGAATCGACTGAAGATTTCTGACGCTGTAACTTTATTGAAATTTTCGATTAATCGTACAATAACATACTTTTGACAATCGTGCGAATAATTAATAATTATAATAATCGCTAGAACTTCTTTTGTTTTTAAGTGTCTACAAGAGTCATTTTGTAAAAGAAGATCGTTTTCTCTTTTCTTTACTACCCTATTTATCGCAAAGTTATCACTAAATATCGTCAGGGGGGTTAATCCTCGAAGGAGCGTAACAATCTCCCACCCCGCGGGGTCCGGAAAATGTCACGGGTCCCTCGCGACCGTAAAAACTGGGACTCTATGGGGAGGACGGCATCGCTCGCCTCGGGAGGGTGCAGCGGGCCACCGGTCGACAAGAAGGGGGAGAAAAGGGGGGACCCCGCGCTAGCTTGGGAGCATGCCCATAATGTTGCGGGTATTATAGGCGGTTCGTGGCCGGTGTCGTAGGTGGTGTATAGTAGGTAGTACGAAGACGGCGTTGCCTATAAGCTAATAAATTGAACGGATGTTTGCCCCGAGCTTTTGTCATGATGATCACGGGTAGCCCACGCCTGGCCCCGTCGAGCACCTTTTGAATCTCTCTCTCGAGACGGCTCCGGTCGTTTCTGCCTCGCCTCGGTGGCGTGTCTCTCCCTCCACGACGACGCGCGTGTAAACGCGCGCGTGAATGCTTTTCGGAGCTTTATCCGCGAGAGGAGGATAAATCGTAGAAATGATAATCACGATGGGCGATTTCCTGTCTCTTCGCCGCACAGTATTTCTTTTTCTTTCTTTCCTCTCCTCTTTTACTCGGATGACTCGGTAACTGTTGCGATCGCGGTACTTCAACGCGAAACGCGCCTCCATATAATGCCCCGATTTAATGCCGCGTAGGCTTTTGTTAACTTTGCGAAACCTAGCGAAAGATTGTGAGTCCAATGCTTTTTATGAATAGAAAGAGGCAACATAGAGAGAAGTCTTGAGATTTTCAAGAAATTTTCTATGCAATTCTTGACGCACTGTGGCATCTCTCTTCAGAATTATGCTTTTGTCGCGAAATAGTTAAAATGAATTACCCCTTGTATCTAACATTTATTCTTTCCTTCCTTTGAAGAATAGAGAACTCTTTAAAGAGAATCGAAATTTTCCTCTCTCTGTAAATGTGACTTCCCGCAAACGCGTTTGTTTCGTTTAATCCGCTGAATATATACATCGTATAATCTTCATGTAACTGAATACAGTTAGTGGCGTTCTACATATAAATCAATGTGACATTAGATACGTGAGGGGAAGATTATTAACAGTTCACGCTTGGATATTGCCGTATCAACTTAATGCCTTATACATGCGTTATCTTTAATGGCGATATATCGCTGCCCGGTATCGTAATGCTCGTCGCGATGTTCGCTCATTGATAAGCCTCGTAAAAGTAGTCATAATACACATCAGTATATGAATTCTACGGTCTCTCCCCGCGTCGAGTGGGCGAATACGCAAATGTAAACTGCCAATAAGCATAAAATAACAAAGTAGATCCGAGAGCGGCCTGTCGGTAAAAAAAACCGAGTGCAATTCCCAACGACCCAACGCGCTTTTCGAGATGTTTGAGGTTCAATCGTTCTTGTAACAATCTTTTCAAAGACGTTTTGATTCCCCGTCACGGTCGATTTGCGTTAAACTGCGATCGGAAACAATTCGTAAGTGCAGTCGGCTCGGAAGGGAGAAAAAAAAGAGAAGAAACAGAAACGAGAAAGGGGATTGCTCTCGAGAGGAGGAAGGGAGATCGAGGGGAAGAGGATCGAGCTTCGTGACGGGGAACCCGGTACTCCTTCCCGGTTGTATCCGGCAATTGCCAAACACCCTGTACGCGCGGAGAGAAACACTGGCGAGGAACGGAGAACAGACACACCGGTTGAAAGCGGTCGGTCGAGCCGGGCGAACCACGCAACGCGCCAGTCAACTCAACTCGACGACTCGAGTGGTAGGGAACATTCCTTCGCTACGGCCACTATTTCATCGTTTCGTATGACGCTATATTATAAGACCCCCGCCTGCGCCGACTCGGCTACTACACGGTGGTCCAAAAGCGGCCATCCACCTGCGCGCGCGCGCGCGAGCGCGAGCGAGTTCTCTCCCGCGTCGAACTCTCTTCGGAGATCTTTTTCCTCGCGCTTTCTTTCGCGATGGAACTCGCAGTCTGCGAACGCGAGTATAAAATTTACCTTCATCTCTCCACGGTTGCTCTTGCTAAAAAGCAGAGAGTAAAAACTCTGCTGGAGTTACCGCTACTTATTTCCGTTACCGCTGTTATTTCGTTAGCTGCTCCTTCATCTAGGAATTTATTCGCGCAGCTGTCAGTTCGACGCGTGTTTTTGCACCGTAG